CCCGCTCTGGCCGCCTCTCGCCTCTGCTGCCCGTGCCGCTGCCGCTCTGGCCGCCACTGGCCGGGCGAGCGAGCAGCCTGCGGGGGCAGGACGCTGCGGCGGCGGCGGCTGCGGCTCCAGCGCCGCTCGGCGGCGGCCAACAGCGACACCCGGAGGCGCCGCCGCAGCACTGCAGCCGCCTTTGGGCTGCGCTCAAAGGGATCCGCATTTCGGCCGCGCTGGGGCTGCTGCTGCGGCTGCACTGGCTATGGGATCCCACCTCTATTCCAATCAACAATCAAAGTAGGACCTGCTTAATGTGTTTTCTAAGGCCTTTACAACTGAGATGCGCTGTCGGATGGTTTTACGTCATTATCACAATTAATAGGAGGAATCAAATATTCCTAAATATTCATATCAGAGAAAAAAAGGAAGGAACTCAGCTGCTCTTAATAAAACCAGGAGCAATTAATAGGAGCAATAAACGATAGTAGAGGGAAGACTTCAAGAGCAATTTTGCTCTGTGTTGTTAGATCTCTTGAATTCTGCTGAATTCATTATCTGGGATTAATTAATCTGAAAAATGGATCAGCCTAAAGCAACTGAAAGGATATCTATGCTAATGTAGCAAATTTATCAGTTACTGTTTTGTTTGTGATTCTTGAAATGTCCTTCTTTTTATGTTCATACTTGAGGGGCTGACAATGGCAAAGTGCAAAGCCACAACGAGTCCTTCATAGATTCAAAAAATGCTTTCAGTTCAAAGGGTTCTTTCAAGGTCATTCAATCCCCAGCTCTGCCATGGGCAGGAACACCTTCCACTAGACTAAATCACTCAAAACCTTATCCAACATACTTTTTACCTAGAGGAATATCCATAAGTTCTCTGGGCAATGAAAACCCTTGTACTTGTCCTGCCACTACAGGCCCTGATTAAAAGGTTCTGCCCATCTTTATATGTAGCATACTTTAAAAAGGCAAAAACATTTTACACAGAGGCTTCTTTCTTCATGCATAAAGACACAAAATCCTTCAGCCCTTCTTTGTTGAAGAGATGGGCCAGCCCTCAGACCATTTCTGTGGTCTTTCTGGGGACTCCAGCAAGTCCATGTTTTTTTGGAATATTTGCCCCAGATCTGCATGCAGTCCCTGGAGTCTCCCAAAAAGACTTCACAGTTTATGGCCTGCTGGCCGTAATACTTGTTAGGTAGCAGAGGATACATTTCTGTTCCTGAGCAGTAAGTGTATTTTGGCAAATCATGACCCATCTTATTACCCACCAATAACCCCATGTACTTCTCTGCAAGGCTGTTACAATCTCCTACTCTAATTAAACTGGAGATTACCCTGACCCAGGTGTGGGACCTTTCCCTTAGCCTTGTTGAACTTCCTGATGTTTGCACAGGCCCACTCCTCCAGCCTATCAAGGTCTCTCCAGTTGGCATCTCTGCCCTCTCCTGTTTACATCGATTCATCCTGACATCCAACAGAACTCAGGGACACCCTCACATCTCCTGCCTTTCACACCTGCTGTACCGTGAACAAGAGGCACTAACACACGATGCATGGCTCAATGAAGCAATGCTGGTAATCACAAGGAAACCTTCAGACATGCCAAACTAAGAAACAAAACCCAAAAATGAAAATCAGAGAAGCAAGGCAAGGAAGCATCAGGAGACAAGGAGTGATCAGAGAACTTCACTGGCAAGTCTTTTGGGTCTTCACTGGAATTCATCCCTGCGAGCACTTGGAAGTCACTGAGGTCTCCAGTTGCAAGTGCAGACCTAAAGTCTTACACCAGACTACCTACTTATGGGATTAATTTTAAGAAAGAGTCATCATTTCTCAGCAATTCTACTGTGTGGCCTGCTGACATCGCACAAGTATCAAGCACTTCATTGTGGGCCCCTTTGTCAAGCTCAACCTTCTGAGAAATTACAGCAAATTCCCATTTTCTTTTTCTTCATATTCCTCACACACAAAATTCTGCCCTAGGTGGCTGAAGGAAGTATTTGCTGCCAAACCACAGTCACTCTTTCAAAGGCAGAAGCGTTGAGTAGAAGTGCATTAAAAGACCACGACCTTACAGGACTCTTGAACAAAGTCTTGAAAGAAAGTCTGATTGCAACTGTGAAGAAACTCTACATCACTCTGTCCCACAGAGATACAAATGGATTATATAAAACATGTCAGAGACCTCAACACTGGCATGAAATTAAACCATTGACCAGTCAAACTTACACTGACCTACCCATTTTCCTCATTCAAATCCAGCCTCTCTGTCTCCTGGCTCTGCATTCATAGCCTTTGGTTGCTCCATCACTACCTGAAATCTGACTACATGGCAGCCCCAGGGAAAAGAGCATTTCATTCAGTCCCATTTTAGGGAAACATATATTTATCAAAGTGTTTCTTTTAGGTGATGTCCACATTCAGGGTAGGGAGAAGAACTTCTCTCCCACCCTGGCAATTATAAGATGTCTTCTGGTGTTTCACACTGAAGCACAGAATCAAAAGTTGAAAGAGACCTTCAAGATCCTCTGGTCCAACCCTCAGCCCAGCACTACCATAATCAGCCCTAAACCATATCCTCAAGTGCCACATCCAGAGGCCTCCCAAACACTTCCAGAGAGGGTGACTCCACCACCTTCTTGGTCAAGTTATTCCAGTCCCTGATCACTCTTTCAGAGAAATAAACAAAATCAAATATCTCACCTGGATCTCCTGTGGTACAACTTAAGATAATTTTCTGTCCTTCTTTCCCTTAAGATATGGCAGAAGAGACCAACCTCCACCTCACTTATCAACTCCTTTAAAGTAGTTGTAGAGAGCAATTAGATAATCCCTGAGCTACATTAAATAACTCCTATTTTCTCAGGAGTACTGAAATATCTGACCTGCTCCTCAGAAGCTTTAACAGTTTTGGTTTGTTCACAAGATTACCAGGCACAAGGAAGCCCAGCTTTACTCCTTGACATGAAGCAAACAAACAAACAAACAAAAAAGCACAGCAAGAGTGAGAAACCATCAGAAGTGTATGAACCACAGAATTATTTAGATCCCAAGCATCCCAAAAAATATAATCCTGCTCATTCCAATAATTTGAATAACTTTAAAATGTTATACTGGTCAAAAGCAATCAGCAGCTCAATGAAAAAAAAACATCTCAAAGGAAACAACACACAGGGGCTCTTTGAAAGCCCTACCACTCATAATGTGTGTTGAACCCAAAACTTGGCCATCTGAGTACAAACCATGCAATATCAAAAAATAGGATTCCTTCTGACTTCTTTGCAGATTTAAAAGGTTCAATCCTGGGAATCAACAAAACACAGGCCATGTCTCCACCAGCACCTCCTCACACACAACACTCCCCTCAAACTCTTCACAGCTCTTCACGTGGCTATCAAGGATCTTCAAAATTAACAGAAAGACCCCACAAGAAGAATCGTTGCTTAGACAATGTTTCCTTACTGTGAATAGGCTTTGACTTCTCACCCTTTGCATGTGACAAGCAAGAGAATTTCTTACAGTGATGTTTGAAAGAAACATGTCTATGAAAGTCCTTCTCTTTCCAGCTGTAAACAGGAAAGGCAACAAATGTAACATGCATGCAAATGTAACAGATTTGATTTTACAAACCCTTTAAGAGACTAAGACCCATTCTGAGATCACCAAAGGAGAAAGGCAGAAAGTTAACTATCACAGAAATTAAGAGTTCAGAATACTCCTTTAGATTATGTAATAAGAGACTATTTCAGCTGATCACTAGGACGTGAACACACACCTTGCTTTTCTGAAAGCTCAAACACGGTCTCTGTCATGTGTACATAATTAAGCTGTGCAGTTATGTAATTATGACAACATGAAAACACAAACAAAGAACCTCGCAGGGCTTTCCATACAACTGGAATACATGTCTTCCTGCAAACAGTTTGGGAAGGAAAACCTCACAATGCAGGGTGTGACGGGTGCATAATAAACCAAAAAACAGGAAAAGCATTCCCTTGTGTCCTTCAACAGATCCTTCAGCACAGCTCCCAAGACTCAAATCCCCGACCCATCACATTATCCAGGATGCTCTTTGACCCATCTAAGTTACAAGGACATGGCACATAAGGCCCAGTTTCCCAGACCACTTCTTTTCAATCCACTGACTTCACGCAAATACCTTTACACTTCTGCATGGAGATACATCTGTCTGCTCACTGATCTTCTGAGAAGAAATCTCAACATTCTGAAAGGAAAATAGGAGCAGTGCTCCAGTAAATGTATGCAGATATTCACAATGCATCAATGAGTGTCTGCATAGGGGCAGTCACCCTCTCCTTACATCTCCCTCTGCACCTTGAGTCTCTCCCCTTGCACTCATACAAGGTTCTTGCCATGACATGCATTTTAGAGCCAAGGCACATATAGCCACATTTCACATGGTTCAACCTTAAAAGACAAGAAATCAGCAAAACACCCCTGTCGTTTCCTCCTGCACTTCCTTCAGCACATGCAGTCACCCACAACTCTTTCAACATGATCCTTCATCTTCATAACAGGCAGACAGACATCATCAAAGCACCAGTTGTTGCCTGGCCCAACTTCCCTACAGAGAACACAAAGAGTAATCATGGATGAATGCAAATACATTTCCTACTGACACAACTATATGAAACAGAGGAACTTAAAGATTGAGAAGAGTGCAAATGATGAGCAGCGAAGTTACTGAGGGAGCTGTCACAGCCTACACAACCTCACCCAAATCAAGTGCATGTGCCTATGGGAAGAACACAAACTACAATTTCCTAATAAGGCAACATATCTGTATAGAAGAACTAATACTGAAAGCAACACACATGTCACACATCTCAGGGCACAGAAACAATTTGGTGTGTGATGAATCCACAAACTCTCACTCAAACTTCCAGCCACCATCAGCCTCACTACACCTGCCTCCCCAACAACCTGGAAAACTGAGCAAGGACCCTACATCCACCTGTCAACAGCCCACAGAGTGACAATGCACGAACCTCTGCCAGCGCTGTCAGCAAACTATCCTAGACGGTCTCTTCGCAGAGACAAACTGGCCACAGGAACTCACCGGGGCAGGGGCGGGATCAGCGGGACTGTCACTGGCAGGTTCCTCGTCGCCGAGCAGCGGGGCGGGCTCGTCGGGCGGCGGGCGGGCCGGGAGGGTGTCGCAGCAGCTGGCGGCCGAGAAGCGCAGGTGGCTCTTGCGCGAGTCGGCCGTGAGAGACACGTCGTGCGAGTAGGAGTGCAGGAAGGCGCGGACGCCGTCGATGCCCACGAAGCGCGTGGCAGGCACGCCGCGCAAGGCGGCGCCGGCCGTGGCCAGCAGCTGCTGCTGCTGCTGCGAGCGGCGCCAGCGCCTGAGGCGCAGCGCCAGCAGCAGCAGCAGGAAGGCGAGGAAGAGGCAGGAGACGGCGGCCACGGCCAGCACGAGCCAGCGCGTCAGGCTGGCGGCCGGCTCGGCCGGCGCCG